GTCAATATTTACAGCCTCAGAAACCCTAGGCAGGGTTGCTATAATTAGGAACAGATTCCACTGCACACCACCACCAGAAGACTTATTTGGAGTCTTCTCATTCATAACATTTTCAAATACTTTTTATGCTAAGCACTGAGCTGCTAACAGCAAGGTTGGCAGTTCCAATCCACCATCCACCAGCTGCTCTTTAGAAACCCTATTACAGGGTCTCTATGAGTCAGAACAGACTTAATAACAACAACAACAGTGGTGTTCTAGCTCATAGTTTTACCACGCAGCTTTAATTTCTGAAATAGTAAAGAATCTCTGTGGCTCAATTTTAAGGCAAATAATAGATAAGCATGTAGGGGGGAGTGAAGGAGGAATCAAGAAACAGATAAGTGAAGTTACATTGAGGGGTTGCCCTCATTGATATGAAATGAACTGTATGCTTTGGTGAATCTAAAACTGATAATCTGCTCGGCAAGCCTTCACTCAATTCACAATAAACACTTTTTAAACAATAGTAAAGTTCAGTATAAGGAGTCCTGGTATGGCCCTGCGGATTAACAACAATAACAACAACAAAGTTCAATATATAAATCATATAATCAAAATGATTCATTGTTAAAATGGCTGTAAAAAAGACAAGGAATCAGTGTCTGATCTCCTCTATAGTGTCTGAACTCCTCCAGCTTCACACGAGGGAAAAAGGAGAATCACCCGTCAAAGGTCAATTCCTGTGAGGCAGAGATCAGACATGCCTCCACCCTTCAACCTTCTTTATTCCGACACCAACCATCCTTCCCAAAGTACTTGTCACTTCTCTTCTGGGTTCAATAATCTGCTAACAATGGCCTGACAGAACTTACAGACAATACTCATGATTATTTGGTTTATTAAAGAAGGTTGATATTGTTGTGAAGTGCCGTCGAGTCATTTCTGACCCATAGCGACCCCGTAAAGGGTTTCCAAGAAGCAACTGGTTGAGCTTGAACTACCAACCTTGCAGTTCAAACCGACTTTGCAGTATAGTGCATTAACCCACAGCGCCACACCAGGACTCCATTATGGTAGTGGTGGTGGTTATGTGCTGTGGAGTCGGTTCCAACTCATAGCAACCCTGCCTGTACAGGGTTTCCGAGACTGTAAATCTTTACGGGAGCAGAGACTCTCATCTTTCTCCCATAGAACGGCTTGTAGTTTTGAACTGCTGACCTTGCAGTTCGTAGCCTGATCTGTAACTACTATGCTACCAGAGCTCCTTATTAAAGAAGGTACCTGGATACAATTTAGGATCAGAAACAACTCAGGAAACTGCAATTCCCTGTTTAAGACAGTTTCTTCCCAGCCTTACCACAGGCATGCCTCTTTCTCATCCTAAGCCTCTTGGCACATGGTGTTTTGGCTTCTGTCCTGCTCCAGCAAGTGTTAAAAATACTCTCTGCGTTTGCTTCCTCCATGGGCTGGGAAGTTCACTGTTCTACCTTGTGCTCTGGTGCTTCACGTTTGGTGGTGCCACAGCCACCTCTTCTCAATGCAGGGATCTCATGATCCAAAGGACATGCTGTGTCCATGCCTCTGCTTGTGCATCTTCTTAATTGATGGTCTGAGAGCCCTTGTTCCTGCTTTTGAGGAGGCTCATTTTAAACACAGTGGAATGGCAAAACCAACCAATCCCCACATTAGAGTCCTGTACGCCTATTTGAATGGTTGCACCCAATCATTTGCTGGGAGTTGTAAACACTATGGATAGAAGAGTTGTATCAAGCAAATGTACTGTACCACAATGGTAAAGGTTAAAAGACCAAAATGTTTATGAGTCTTTGATGTAGTATATATTTCTATACCATATGCCTGATACCAATGGCACAATTTCAAGAAAGTTATTTTACCAAATCAATGTAAACAAATTTGAGAATAAAAAGCAAATGATAATTTTACAATGGCCTAAACAATGTACAATAACCTAAATAAATGCAATTTATGATTTTCTCAAAAACACTGCTTGCTGAAAGAAGCAGTTCTCACTTTATGGAGACTCTGGGATCAGTGGATTTCACTTCTTAGTCTTTGTACTCTTTCTTATCTCAAACCCTTAAGAGTATGGAGACGTTAATACTTCATGTGTAGAGTTTCTATAGCTTGTCAACTACCAAGTTCCTGGGTTTCTGCAAACTATGGTAGCTTTTCATAACATAAAAACATCTGTCTCCTGAGACTAACATCTGCTTTAGAGTACAAAATTTCCGTGAAGAACTAAGAAAATCTACTAGTAGAACTAAATATGAAAGTTAAATTTGGACATTGCACATTTGCTGTTAGGTAAAGTACATGGAAATCACTATACTCAGTCCCCTCTCTCCTTTTGTTTTCAGGCAGAACATCTAGTGGGAAAGGCTAGTAAAGATAAAAATATAGGTGCATCCAGGTAAACATGCATATCAGATAATGATGGAAACTTTTTTTTTTTTTTTTAATATAGGTATGTCCCATGCAAAATTTTGTTGCTGTTAGGTACCATTGAGTTGGTTCCAATCATAGTGACCCTGTGCACAGCTGAATGAAGCACTGCTTGGTTCTGTGGTATTTTCACAATTGTTGTGTTTAAACTCAATGGTACTGGCACTGTGTCAATCCATTTTGTTGAACGGTTTTCGCTTTTTTGCTGACCCTCTACTTTACCAAGCATAATGTCTTTCTTCAGTGAATGATTCTTTTCAATAACAAGTCCAAAATATAAAAGATGAAGTTTCTAAGGAGAATTCTGGCTATCCTTCTTCCAAGAGAGGGTTGTTTGTTTTTCTGGCAGTCCATGCTTTTAATATTCTTTGCCAACACCATAACTTAATTGCATTTATTTAGGATATATTTTTATTAAAAACATTCTGTGCTTATCTGACATTCAAATTTAAATAGGCTATATTTTTGTGTTCCAAATTGACCAGTCAGATAGTCAAATGAAAGAGGATGATAATGACTAAGGGATCAAGAAGAAATGAAGAAAGCTTATAGAAAGTGGCAGGGTTACATCTTACTATTTTTCACTACATGGCAGCAAATAGCACCATTCCATATTGTTTGTTTTAGGCAAGAAGATGCTTCAGGAACACTTTTAATATGTATTTCCCTTTACACTTGGGTTATGTTAATATATTGGTGATTTTTAATTAAAATATTTTTTTTAAATTCTTGGTTTAAAAGAAAAACTTGACCCATATATAGAAAAATAAAATATGAGTCAGTATGTCACTAAAAATTTGAACTTGTATAGGGTCACATAATTGGTACAAAGACTTCTATCAACACTAATGGAGGCAGCAGTCAAGAAATCAAATAATGTATTGCATTAGACAAATCTGCTGAACAAGACCTCTTTAAATCTTTCAAGATCAAAAATGTCAGTTGGAGGACTAAAGTGCACCTGACCCAAGCCATGGTATTTGAAATGGCCTCATATGCATGTGAAATTTTTATAATGAATAAAGAATACCATAGAACAATTGGTGGATTTGAATTATGGGGTTAGAGAAGAATACTGAAAGTACCATGAACTGCCAAAACAATAAACACATCTGTGTTGGATGAAGGACAACCAGAATACTCTTTAGAAGCCAGATGTCAAAACTACATCTCTCATACTTTGGACATGTTATCAGGAGGAACCAATCCCTGGAGAAGGACATCATGCTTGGTAAAATGGAGGCTCAGTGAAAAAGAGGAAGACCCTCAAAGAGAAGTATTAGCACAGTGGAAGCAGTAATGGGATCAAGTGTAACAGTTATGAGGAAGGCAGAAGACTGGGCAGTGGTTCATTCTGTTGTACACAGGGTCACTATGAGTTAGAACTCACTTGACAGCACCTAACAACAACAATTGGTACAAATTGAATAGAACCCCATTACAGAGAATATGTATTTATGTTTAATTAAAGTATTCCTTGTGTGATGTATAGAATTACAGATTAACTTGGGTGCATATAGATGTTGAAATGACCTGGAAATATTACAGCTCCATCTAATAGAGTCTAGGTCTTGAGTGAAGATTCCCATCCTTCTCAGAGTCATTCATTTGATTGTTAATGAGTTTGTAGTATGAATAAACCATTAAATTTCATTTATTTTCTTCACAGTAAATCATATAATTTATGCTTGTAGTAAAATTAAATTTTCTCTTCAGCACCTCTGAAACTCACCTCCAGTCATCTTTGGATAAATTTGCCAATATATTCATTTCTTCTTCTTGCATGAGTCGATAGGCTGCACTCACATGGTGATTCTCAAGGACTGAACGGTCATTATACAAAATGGCAACATCTGACCTAAGAATAAAACACAATGCTCCATTTAGGATTTCTTTAGACTTTCAAGGTGTCTAATGAAAGAACTTGTTTCAAGACATTCCATAAATTAAAAATCTTACAATTGAATACCAAAAACTTGGAAATAATCAGGTTCCTTTTGTCATAGTATTAATGTGTTTATGCCTTTCCTTTCAATTTACAATCCAAACACTTGTGAAATACCCAAGATATTCTAAAGAGAAAAAAAATTATCTAGTTTTCCACTCAATCAGTGAATGAACAAACCTTTTTGTAGTCATTCTTTAGACTAAAATTTCTTTGGAATGTTGTTGTTAGGTGCCATCAAGTCGGTACCAACTCACAGCGACTTTATGCACAGCCGAATGAAACACTGCCCGATCCTGGGCCAACCTCACTATTGTTGCCACGCTTGAGCCCATTGATGCTACCACTTTGCCAATCCATCTCGCTGGGGGTCTCCATCTTTTTCTCTGAATAGTGAATGTTAAAATCATTTGCTCTATGATTCTATTTTTATCCCCCTATAATGCTGCAACTAACTGAATATTATAGTGTATTTGGGCTTATATTAAACCAGTGAAAACAATTTTTAACACAACTTGAAATATATGTTTTAACAGAAATTTATAATGAACACTTTATATTAAATGATAAATTCATAAAAGGAAGGTTTTTATTTATTTTTCCTATTCCTTCATAACATTGAATTGTTGAATTTGGTTTTCTAGCATAAGGTTTAAACAATTCCAAACATTTTCAGACTAGTACAATGGAACCCTTGCATCTCCTTCCCTTACCACTCTAGGCTACAGATCATTTTGCAAGTGTGGAGTGGAAGCTATGAAATCACACATAAAACTTGACAAGTTAGAAGTAGGATAACACAAATAGAAAAAGGAAAGTCAAGTTGAAATCTGTAGCCACTTTGCTACCACTGTCCCCAACATCCAGCATCAACATCACTGTCCCCAACATCACTTTCTTTCATATGTTGGTTATTGTTTTTAAGTGCCATCTAGCCAGTTCTGATGCATAGCCACTCTGTATAGGGTTTCTGAGGAGTGGCTGGTGAGTTTGAAGTGCTGACCTTGTGATTCAAATCAACCTTGTAGTTCAGTGCTTTATCCTAGAGCACCACATAAATTTTAGAACATTTCTCCTTGCCATCTTATTAAGATTTTTGGTTTTAAGGCTTTTCAGTGAGTTACTGTTGTTTTTATTAGTTGCCATACAGTTGATTCCAACTCATGGAGATCCCAATGTGTGCTGGGTCAAACTGTTCCCAAAAGGGTTTCAAGGCTGTGACCTTTCAAACGTTGATTGTCAGACCTGTTTCCCCAGGCTCCCCTGGGTGGATTTGAACTATCAAGCTTTGGACAAATAGTTGAGTGCTTTTTGTTGTTGTTAAGTGCCATCGAGTCGGTTCTGACTCATAGCAATCACAGGGTCTCAGGAGTGACTGGTGAGTTTGAACTGCCAACCTTGTGGTTCAAACTGACCTTGCCATCCAGTGCTTTTCCACCACCCAATCTAAACCAATGTAGGGGAACTTTTAATGATCTTAGCTAAGACCGAAAAATCCCTTTATCAACAACCATAGCTCAATACACAGAAACTAGAACAAGGGAAACATACATTCAATGCATATTTAAGAGAGAATCAAATAGATTTTGCCCAAGTAAATTACAATGTATTTTCTAGAAGTTTGTTGGTATCATGGAAAAAAAAAACACTATAATTTATCATTCATAGTTTTTTATTAGATGAACCAAATCTAACTATGGCTGTTTTGGTGGGGTTATTACATGATGAGGCTCCACATATCACTATCTCTTTCTTTCAGAACTTAGGAGAGGTGTGTTTTTAGATCAAATTTAAATGTAGCAAAGTGAACATGGTTATGTCTGATTAATCCAACTGATGCTAATAATGCAGCAAGGTCTTAGTGTTTACTTTGAAGGTCTTTGCTAAGAAAAGAACAAGACTCTAAGCAACATCCAGTATCCATGGTAACATGTAGCTTAGCATTTTCTTTCTGCAAAGAAGAAATGATTTTCATTTATTTATACTTTCAATGATTTCATGAATTATAATATCTGTATTGAACTCAAATGTAACCTTGTACTGTATTTTAAATACTTTTCAGTCATTTTGCATTACAAAATAAGTGGATTTTGATGTTGGAAAACTATTTGAAACTCAAATTACAATGAAAACATACAATACAATAGAATTAGTGATATTAGTCACATAAGACCTTATTTCTCCTTGGACAAAATGTGAAGGTGATAGGGAAAGCAAAAAAAAAAAAAATAAACCAGCTTTATTGCTGCAATTGTGGTCATTACAAAGGTTTTGTTTACATAATATTCAACTTCATGTACAATTAATCCATTCAATAATTAATTGTAGTTGGCATTTTATAAGCAGTAAATAAAATGCAAATCACTTTTTCCTTTTTATAGTTTCTTAATATAAAATTATAAAAGAGTGATACTTCTCTACTCTCTCTCTTCTCCCCACTGTTTTCTTTTATGAAGCTGCTGAGATGTAAGTCAAATAGGACTCTATCCAATCACAGACAGATGGTAAAAAGAGAAATCTAGAAATGATCATCTAACACTAGAGCCAGTCCATTGCCTTCACTTATCAAAGCAGAGAGGACAAGAATTATTCACAGGTAACAAATTCACTATTATGTTTTCCAATCCTTAAAACTTGTCCTGTTGAAGGGTCCAGCTCCAACAATGATCTGCATAGTCTTCCTTTCCTTTTATGCTTAACATAAAAGCCAACAACTCCCAACACTCTCAAAATGTGTGAGTTAATAGCTTCCCTATCTCAGAATGCCCCTACAAAATGTTTATTTAAAAAAAAAAATTCTATTTTATGCTCTCCATATCAAAATAATTTCTTCTCAATGGAAAATTAGAAATTCTCTAAACCAAATAGCAAATGAACAAACAACATACAAAGATTAAGTAGGCTTAATTTTCCCTCAGCAAAAGTAGAGGTTCTTCAGCCAACTGGCAGATAGGTATATAGGAGGAAACAACACTAGTGAATGCACTCTTCGAATGGTCAACAATTCATGAACAAAAGGTTAGCATTTTCCTGAGGACTACTTTCAGAAGGGTTGGAAAAAGGAGGAGGAATGGAAACAAGAATCACCAGAAGAAAGTGGGGCCAATGATGTTACATTGAGGGATTATAATCATTAAGATGAAATAAAGTGTATGGTTTTTGTTGAATTTAAAACTGATAATCTTGTCTGTAAACCATCACTGAAGTCACAAAAAAAAGTTATAAAAAAACAAAACAAAACAAAAAGAGTAGCTATTCTGCAGTGATTCCAGAGAAACAGCAGTCTCTAACAGCATCTCCAACTCAAGCATCCCTGACTAATAAAAGCAATTGTAGAATCCCATATATATAAAGTAAGTTGGATCCTAACTAGCTTCTCAAACATAGAGCTGTCAGGTCAGTTATAAAGACCTTCGTGTACCTTCCATTCTTATATTTTGATTCTAATAATAGCCATTATCACTTACATCAAAGAACCCTCTTTTTTTGTTTTTCAATTATTATAATTTTAACACTTTGTGCTAACCAGGAAGTGAGGTTTCTATGCTTTAGGCTTTATTTACATAAGTGTTTTTGGGTGTTTTTTTTTTCAAATATAAAATGACAGTAAAGCCAATATTGTAAACAATAAGTTGCAAGATTTACTTCAGTGAATAAAAGACTCAGCTGTATTATAGTTAATGGTGCAAGTTCTGAGAAGAGAAAAATTATTTTTAACTGTTTTTTAAATTTCTAAATATGTTGGAAAATACACAAAAGAATATTCATAAATAATATTTGATTTATTTAAGTACAAGCAGCTTAAGAAATATACCTTAAATATCCTTACTTGACATTTTCATTATTTTATCCTTTTAAAAGTAATATGTTGTTGTTGTTATGTGCCATGGAATCGGTCCTGACTCATAGCGACCCTATATAGAGATTCCAAGGCTGTAAATCTTTACAAGAGCAGAAAGCCTCATCTTTTTCCCACGGAACAGCTAGTAGTTTCGAACTTCTAACCTTGTGGTTCGCAGCCCTATTCGTAAGCACTACACTACACTTAAAAGTACTATAGAGAAGAATAACTTTCAAATCTTCATTTTGAAAAGTTGTTAATGCTTTGTCTAACTTACCTTGTCTGAATGTGAAAGTTGTTTGTGGTCCCTGTGTGCTCGTAATCATGAATGGCAGCAGCAAAAACCATTGCCAATATTTCCAGTTCGGTGAGCCAGTGCTAGCAAATTCAAGAAAGAGTCATCAGACTTTGAAAGTAGAGGCCATATTGTCATTCTACAAAAATGATCCCAGTATGCATAACCATATAAAATAATGTTTTATTGATTTTAGGTATTTTTTCTTCCTATTTCACATCCATCACAAGAATAATTATTGAAATAATATCATTAGTGTCACATGCAATTAAAGCTTATTAAATATTAAATATTTAATTTCTAACAGTTAAGTACTGTCAAGTTGGCTCCAACTCATAGCTACCCTATATAAGTTTTCTGAGGAGTCATTGGTGGGTTTGAACCACCAACCTTCCAATTAGCAGTCCAATGTTTATCCTACAGCACCACAACTAAAGATAATTAAAAATCATTGCTGTTGCTACAGTACACTGATAGGGAATTGCCAGAAATTCAAGTCTCAAACTCAGAAAATGTTCAACAAAGAATGCCATTGCTAACATCTGTTGAATCTTGACTGGAAGCAGAGAATATCAGAAAAAAGTTTACTTGTGTTTTATAGAATATGCAAGGCACCCAACTTATTGGATAATAACAAATTATGGACAGCATTTTGAAGAATGGGAATCTTAGTACATTCCTTTTTGCTTATGTGAAAGCTGAACATCTACCAAGACACAGTCATTCAAATTGAACAAGGCGATACGGCATGGTTTAAAATCAAGGAAGGTATATGTTAGGGTTGAAGCTGTTCACCATGCTTACTCAGTTTTTATGCCGAGCATATAATCTGAGAATCGTGAACATATGAAGAAGAATTCGGTGTCAGAATTGGAAGAAGATTCATTAAAAACCTATGATATGAAGATGACACAACTTTCCTTGCTGAAAGTGAAAAGGAACTAGAATGCATATTGAAGAAGATCAAACTACAGCTTTAGATATGGATTACACCTCACCTTAAAGACACTAAAATCTTCACAATTTGACCGATAAGCAATATCATAATAAATGAAGAAAAAAGGTTAAAATGGTCAAGAATTTCATTTTACTTGGATCCACAAGAAGCACTTATGGAACTAATGATCAAGAAATCAAATGATGCCTTGTGAGAATCTACTGCAAAATATCACTTTAAAGTATTAAAAATCAAAGTTCTCACTAAGGTGCGTCTGAGCAAGTCATTGTATGTTCAATCACCTCATATACAAGCAAAGCTGGATAATGAATAAGGAAAACCATAGGCGCATTGATGCCTGTGAATTGTTCTGTTGCCTAAGACTACTAAATATTCCGGGAACTGTTAGAAAAATAAATGAATTTGTCTGGGAATAAGTACAGCCAGAATGTTCCTTAGAAGTAAGGATGGCAAGACTTCATCTCATATACTTTGGACATATTATCAGGAGGGATAGGCTCCTGGAGAATAACATGCTTGGGAGAGTCAGCAAAATAGAGGAAGACCTTTAAGGAGATGGATTGACATAGTGACTGCTCCCAGGGGCTCAAACATCACAATGATTGTTCGGATGTCACAGGACAAGACTATGCTTTGTTTTGTTATACTTAATGTTGCTATAGATCAGAATGTACTCAAAGACAACAAAAGCAACAACAGTAGCACATGAATAATATATTCTTCATGAGGTCAATTGTTGTTTCATGTTCTAAGTTAAAAAATTTGGACATAATTTTTACTGCAAATTCGAAAATGAGTTTTTTCCTGTTATTTCAAGGTGAACTTTGATTGGATTTTGAACTCATAGTCTTGCCAATTTTCCATAGCATCAAATCAATTCCATATTAGTGATTTTAACATAGCATCCATATTTAAAATCTCTTATAGTACAAGTTTTATACAACATTCTACTATATGAAAAATTTCTAGGTGATAGTTGAAAATATTCACTTTGCTCATGTGATAAATTAACCTTATTTTTTTTAATATTTAAAGATTTTGATGATTTAGCAACAGATTTAGCAAATCTGTTTTTAATGTGTATTCTATAGAATACTTACATTGTTTATTGTGACTGCACAATTACATTTAATACTGAAGAAGAAAAAAAATGCTTTTCACATATTCAGTGCTATAGACCCCATTGAAATTGATCTTTCTGCTATGAGGTGGTGGCTTAACAAAATTTCCCTACTATTATAAGATCATTCAGAACTAATTTTATTTTAATTCTGTTTATTCATTGCTCACATTCTGCATAACTTTCTGTGCTGTCCAGTATAACCCCATGTAGCTATTTAAAGGTAATCACAATGAAACAATATTAAATTCATTCTTTCAGTTGTATTGTTGTTGTTAAGTGCTGTCAAGTCGGTTCCAACCTATAGTGATCCTGTTTAGGGTTTCCTAGGAGCAGCTGGTGAGCTTGAACTGCCGACCTTGCAGTTCAAATGGCTTTGCAGTCTGGCGCAATAACCCACATTACCCACATTTTAATTCTGAATAGGCATTTATGACAATTGGCTACCATAAGAACAGTGCAGTTATAGGGGATTTCTGTCAACACAGAAGGTTCTACTGGGTACTGCTGTAAGGAGATGGTACTTGATAATAGGAATTAAGGATAAAAAATTATATGGGGCTTGATTGCTCTTAATAAATCTTTTTCTATATACTTGAAACAAAGATCTTGTCCAAAGCAAAAATAATACAAATTGCATGAATAAATGATACAAGGCAGCAATATAAAGATGCAACTGGAGGACAGAAGATCGGAATGACTATTTTGTGGCAGTGGAAGAAGAACAGTTTCAGAACTACTTGGGGGTTAGCACAAAGAGCAATGGAAATAAGAAAGAGCAAATGCAGAATGATAGTATAGAAAACTGAATTGTCATTCGTAAAATTGTGTTGGGAAATGAAGTTAATTGTGTTGTCAATAGTAAAATTGTGTTGAAGAGTCAAGAAAGTAGAGTTGAAAAGGGTGGAGAGAATGGAGAAAGTTGATGGATTCAGTTGATCAGAGCTGATTAGTTTGGACTCTGATCAAAATGCAAAAAGGGACTCTAGGTTGGTTCAGATTTTAAAAACGAAGGAGATGAAAACTGTTAAACTTCACAGCTTCCAAATGCATCATCTTTTTAATCTTTCTGATTTCACACAACCCAGAATGTTATTTGGAATAAAATAAAGATTTAATATTTGTCTGTTGAATTTCATTTCATCAGTGTTACATTTACAAGGTGGAAACATAGAGCAGTGCAATCAGACTGTGGACCCAGACAATCCTGGGTTTAGATCTTTGTTGATCCTCGGGCAAGTAGTTATTTACCCTCTCAGCAACTGTACATATAAAAATGAATTACAATTATTCTTCTGTGGGTTACTGAGAGTTTCAAACTAATGTCTGCACAGTGTCTATCATAAGACTTGCCACATAGGAAAATACAAAATAAATAGGATTTTATTGAATTTATTACCTTAAATATATTGTTTGAGGTATTGAACCTGCAAAACAAGCAACTAACAGATCCTTAGTGATTTCAATTCAACTAGATATACTTCACAGTTGGATGAACCAAAAGAAGCTGATATAACTAGAAATGGTGCTGATATAACTAGATGCTCTGTGTTGATGTTGTTGTTGTTGTCAAGTGCCGTCAAATTGGTTCTGACCCATAGTGATCCTGTATAGGGCTTCCAAGGAGCAGCTGGTGAGCATGAACTGCCAATCTTGCAGTTCAAACAACCTTGCAGTCCGATGCATTAGCCCACAGCAGCACACCAGGACGCCTGTGTTAATAGGTACATACATTTGTAAGTCTTATTAATGGCTTGTATTATAGGTGGAATTTTGGATGAATCTCCAATGTCCCCAGTGTGACAGTGGAATTAAATACAATGAAATGAATAGCAATTGAAGTTAAGTAATTTTTGCTCTCTAAGAAACTTGTCAAGTTGGAACCCACTCATAAGGATCTCATGTACAAGAGAACAAAACACTGGCCAGTGGTGCACCAACATCACAATCTTTGCTACGCTCGATTCCACTGCTGCTGCCACTGTGCCAATTCATCTAGTTGGGGGTCTTCCTCTTTTTTGATGATCTTCCATTTTACCAAAAATGATGTCCTTCTCCAGGGACTGGTCCTTCCTGATAATATAGTATGAGAGACCACATCTGGCCATCCTGGCTTCTAAGGAGCAAATGTGGTGGTACTTTGTCCAACACAGATTTGTTAGTTCTTTTGGCAGTCCATGGTAGTTTTAATATTCTCTACCAACACCATAACTCAAATACATCAGTTCTTCCACAGTCGTCCTTATGCAATGTCCAACTTTAACATGCATATGAGGCTATTGCAAATATATGGCTTCCATCAGGTGCATCTTAGTCCTCAAATTAACATCTTTGCTCGTGAACACCTTAAAGAGGTCTTATGTAGCAGATTTGTCTAATGCGATATGTCATTTGATTTCTTGACTGCTGCTTCTATGAGTGTTGAAGGTTGATCTAAGCAAAATGAAGTGTTTGACAACTTCAATTTTTCCCCATTAATCTTGATGTTATTTATTGGTCCAGTGGTGAGGATTTTTGTTTTCTTTACATTGTGGTGTAACCCATACCGAAGGCATGTTCTTTGATCTTCATCAATAAATATTTTAAGTCCTCTTCACTAAACTTCAGTAAACAAGGTTGTATCACCTACATAAGGCAGGTTGCTAATGAGTCTTCCTTCAATCCTGATGCTACGTTCTTCTTCAGATATTCTAGTTTTTCAGATTCTTTGGTCAGCATACACAATGAATAAGTATAGTGGAATAATATAACCCTGGCACACATGCTTCCTACTTTGAAATCACTGTTCCCTTGTTCAGTTTGAATGGATGCCTCTTGGTCAATGCACAGGTTCCTCATGAGCACAATTAAATGTCACAGAATGCACATTCTCCACAGTGTTGTCCATAGCTTGTCATGATCCACACTATCAAAAATATTTGTGTAGTAAATAAAGCACAGGTAAACATCATTCTGCTATTTTCTGATTTCAGCCAAGATCTATCTTATGTCAGCAATGATATAGC